CCCAAAAGATGAAATACTTGGAAATAAATCTAACCAAAGAAACAAAAGACCCATAAAAAGAAAACTATAGACTATTACTACAAGAAACCAAAAAATACTTGCATAAATGGAGAAATATATCTTGCTCATGGATAGGAAGACTTAACATTGTGAAAATGTCAATACTACCCAAAGCAATCTATAAATATAATATGATCCCAATCCAGATTCCAGCATTATTTTTTAAAGAGATGGAAAACATAATCACTAACTTATATGAAAAGGAAAGACACCCAGGATATGCAAAGCCTTATAAAAAAAGAACAAAGCAGAAGGGTCTCACTTCCTCTTCTAAAAACCTACAATACAGTCATAGTAGTCAATACTGCCTGGTACTGGTACAACAAATGACACATAAATCAATGGAACAGAATGGAGAACCTAGAACTAAATCCATCCACCTACGGTCAGTTGGTCTTTGACAAAGGGCCAAAATACATTAAGTAGGGAAGAGAGAGTCTCTTCAACAAATGGTGCTGGCACAATTTGAAATCCATTTGCAGAAAAATGAAACAATACCCACATCTCATACCACATATGAAAATGAACTTAATGTGGATTAAAGAACTCAATGAGGATTAAAGACTTAAACGTAGAGCCTAGAACTATAAAGATCATCAATGGAAAAACAGGAACAAACTTACATGGAATAAATATATTATCAAACATAACTGAAAACATAAAATCAGAAGACAAATATGATGACTGGGTTCTTCTAAAAATTAGACATATGTATCAAAGTTTTTCACCAAAATAGTAAAAAGAGAACCCACAGACAAGGGAAAAATGTCTGATAATGACATAGCCGATTAAGGATTACTCTCTAAAATTTATAAAATACTTCAACACCTCAACACGAAGAAGACAAATAGTCCAATTAAAAAATGGTCAGAGGACATGAGCAGACACTTCACCAAAGAACGTATTCAGGCAGCAAAGCAACGTATGAAGAAATGTTCAGGATAATTAGTCATTAGAGAGATACAAATCAAAACAACAATGAGATATCATCTTTCTCCATCATTAATAGCAAAGTTCAAAAAAACAGAAAACAACAAATGCTAGCAAGGATGTGGAGAGACTGGGACTCTCCTACGCTGTTGGTGGGACGGTTAAGTGGTGAAAACACTGTGTCAAAGGGTATGGTGCCTTCTCAGAAAGTTGGAAACAGAAAGACCGTATGAACCAACAACCCCTCTACTTGGTATATATCCTCGAGAAATAAGAGGTGTGACATTAATAGATATATGCACACCCTGTTCAATGCAGCACTATTTAAAATAGTGAAATGATGGATACATATTCAATGCCTATCAACAGAAGAAAGGAGCTCTGGTAGCGTAGTGGTTACGAATCAGGCTGCGAACCTTAAGGTCAGCGGTTCTAAACTACCAGCCGCTCCACGGGAGAAAGATGAGACTTTCTACTCCTGTAAAGATTTATACCCTCGGAAACCCTGTACAGGGTCGCTATGGGTCGGACCCGACTCGATGGCACTTAACAACAACAACAACATCAACAGAAGAATGGTTAAACAAACTTTGGTATATACAAACAATGGAATACTACGTAATGTTGCAAAATAATGATGAGGACATTTGTTGAGTAAAATTAGTCAATCACAAAAGGACGAATATTATATGAGACCACTGTTGTACAAAGTTAAGAAAAGATGTTCTTGCTAAATACTATCATGTTTATGGGGGTGGGGAGAGAATTATTCATGGGATGGATGTTAGACACATGTTAATATAGGTCATAGAATAGGCAATATACAATAAGAGGGAGGTTGGCAGAGGAAAGATGAAGGTACCAGGAGACACAAAGAGGATTACATGGGTTAAAGGAAATGGAGGTAGATACTGTTAACTGATGGCACATGGAGGAGACTGCAATCATTGTAATGAAGCAAAGTATATGATTTATTGAATGTAAAACTGATCGTCTTCTCTGTAAGCATTTATTAAATTTACAATAATTTTTTTAAAATTATATCTTTCATTGTTGTTGTTATTAAGTGCTATCGAGTCAGTTACTACTCACAGAGACCCTGTCTAGCTTTTCCAAGGAGCGGTTGGTGAGTTTGAACCACCAACTTTGCAATTCAAACTGACCTTGCCATCCAGTGTAATCCTACAGTACAATACCAGGACTTTATTACATATATTTCATGTTGTTGTTGTTGTTATGTGCCATGGAGTCGGTTCCGACTCATAGCGACCCTGTACAGGGTTTCCGAGGCTGTAAATCTTTACAGGACCAGAAAGCCTCATCTTTCTCCTGTGGAACAGCTGGTAGTTTCGAACTGCTGACCTTGTGGTTCGCAGCCCAATTCGTAACCACTACGCTACTATATATTAAATCTTAAACAATGAAAGTATGTATTTATGCATTTACTTTTATTTGCATTAATAGAATTACATAACATTAAATATTTTCCTCCTAAGTCTATGCTATTGTTGTTAAGTGCCGTCGAGTCAATTCCGACCCATAGCGACCCTGTATAGGGTTTCTGAGGAGCAGCTGGTGAGCTTGAACCGCCAACCTTGCTGTTTAAATGGCTTTGCAGTCTGGTGCATTAACCCACAGCACCACACAATAATCTAAATAAAAACTTAAATTCAAGGTCTACTTGATCAATTAGTGTTCTGAAATTTCGTTTTCAGAATTGAAATATTTCCCAAAGGATTTAATTGCATAATAAAGAGATAGTTATTCTGATGTCATAAGATGCTATCTACTTTGTGTTAAACACAAATGTCCACGCCACTGTTCATGCCCAACATTTTCTTACAACTGCTGATGTAGTACTTCTCCCTCCAGGCAGGTTTTGACTTCTACAATATTTTAAAGAAAAATTTTTTACAAAACCTTATCTATCTAACAACAGCAGTGGCCTAAAAATTAGACTAATGAATAAGTTGGTACAAACATTGAAAGGAAAAGGGGCATGTGATAGTACCACATTCAATGGACCTTTTATATTTGCTGAAGGTGGTTCTAGCCTAACCTAAATGGGAGTGCTGTCTATTTAAGCAATGATGATGCAGATGTTAGAAATACTGGGCCAGACAAGCATGCCTCTTCTACAAACTTCACTTTCTTTCTTCCACAATGAATGTTCCAGATTCTAAGTGTATAAATTTGTGTCTCAACATTTCTAAATTGTAAAGGGGAAAGATGTCTAACAATTTCAAAAGACACAATGTCCTTTAAAAATATTTTTTTCTGTCTATTTTACACTCATTCTTACTATACAACCATTTAAATTTTATTTTAAGTCATAAATTAATTAGATGGCATAACTTCAATAACGACTAAAATACAGAGACTCTTAAAAACACATACAATTCCAGAATATATGAATTTATTCAGTATGATGTCAGTGTACTTCAAAGTATTCTGTTAAGAGATAATGTGACATCTCAGGCAATCTGATTATTCTTTGGAATAACTTGCTGCTACAGAGACTAGTATTTATAGTCTTTGAGTATTTATTAAATCTAGATACATATGAAAATGAAAAATAGAATTGTCCAGAGCACTGTTATAATCAAAGCAAATAACAAAACTTTTCAGAACAACAGAATTTTATTTCCTTCATAACTAATAACTACTTAAGGAAAATGGCCCTAATATATACAT